TGGAGTTGACCTTGATAGATAAGTGTGTTTTTAAGCACACAAGGTGTGTACGATACTAGGAAAATCCACTAGCTTTGTAATTTGCTGCTTTAGTGGTGCTGTGGCTTGCAATATCATTCTAAGTGGCAATTTCTTTCATGATCTGTCTTGTATGTATACAAACRTAAAAAATATAATCAAATTCAATATATAATATAGGTGAAAAACAGTTCAATGGTCAAGACATGTTGCTCTAGCTATGTGATAAAAGGACTCTTTTCCTTTTTGGCTTCTTTTAGGAGGTTTCTGACCTGTTGTAAAAGCATGTTTTCAAACAAAGTTACGTTGAAAGGATGTTCTGTGCAGGATGACTGGGGAAAGGTCTGCTTTTTGAGCCTCACCTGAGGGAGGTGAGAAACGTAGTGTGGAACAGGGTGAATTGAAAAGTRGTAACTGGAGAGCAGTGTAGCAGGTAGAGCTTTAAGTGTAGTTAGATATTTACTTGAGCTGCTAGAAGGAAGAGCTCATGCCAGAGAGACTRAAGAGGAAAGTGAAATCAAGCACTTTATAGGAAAGGGTGTCCAGTGSAAGCCCCAGGTGAAATGACTGCAAACTCCTCTTGCAGCTGTAGATTGTTATTCAACTTCCAGTATTAGTTACTGTCTAAAAATCCCTTCAGTTCAGGGTGCAACATTCTCTKGTGAATGGTTGTTTTTGGATAATCCTGTAACTGTGACAGGGAAAATAATGCAAATCATTAAGGCAGGATTGAGAATTAAGAAGGGATTCTGCACACCATGGATTTCCAGCCTGTCTTGTGAGCTGAGTCAAATGTGCAAGAAATTGGGCCCTTAAGGATGGTCATCTTTTGATAGTTGCCCACCTGCTCTTAATTAGGCATCCAGCATGCCAGCCTTTCTGCTTTGCTCCGGGTAAACTGCTGTGCTGAGAAGGCTTTTACAAAGGATCTACCTGAGGAAATAGTTCTGGCTAGAAGGGAGAGGTAAGGTTCTTGTTTTGATACATTGCTTGTATGTGTTAATTTAAATACAACCAAAGAAAGTATGGGGGAATTAGCCTTTAACCAGAAATGTTGCTTTCATTTAATTTTTAGTATTTGCCCCTAGCCAATCCATAATAAAAGTAATTTGATTGTGTTTTCCATAGTAGTACAGGTGAAAGATATTAATCTCTTAGTGGGTGCTGTGCTAATTGCATCTGAGTTTTTGACTTGGATACCTAGCAGACAGTTTTGAATGGGTTTATGTATGTAGCCATAAATCCTGAAAGTAGCTAATTTCTTTAATTGATTGAAATTCTCCTTTGGTTTCCTAGTATCAGTGGTGATGTGAAGACGCTAAAATAATCTGGTTTATGACTGAAATAGCATTTTTATCCATTTCTTGTTTTTCTCTGAGGAAAACATAKTATTTTGATTCATGATACTGTTATAGAATTAAAATATGACTCAGAATAATGTGGCCAGGATCATGAAGTAGCACTAAATTGGTACCTGCAGAGTTAGAGATTCGAAGACTGAAATTTGAGCAATTTTCTGGTGTTTCTGATCTTTTTCTGGCTTGGGATTATTTTATGACCAAAAAAAAGGTGAAAGGGAAATTTTTGAGAAATRGTTGATGTACAAAACCCATGAAACKAATATAAATTGGAGTATAGAAAAGTTTTTAGCACCGCAGTTTATCACATCAGGATGCAGTAATAGCTTTTTAAAAAGCATATAATAGAAATGTGGATAATAATTTGAGAAACGATTCTAGTAGTAATATCTATAAATAAGAAATTGTTAATAGTAAAGGGAGGAGGGAATAAAATTACGTAAGCCCTAACTGAGACAAGCTGAAATATAGAGGAAATCAAACCAAGTGAAGGAAACCTGTGAGAATTCCAACTGATTCCCTTTCTTTTATTCTTTTTTGCTATCCATGAGCAATAAAGCAGTTTATTTTTTTCGTTTGAAGTAACATTTTCATAAGGCAAGGAGACTGGGCAAGTGAGCTAAATTGGTGTGGACCTTGATACTTGTAATATTTCTTTCATAAAGCAAGAACTTTACAATAATCTAAGTGATGAAAAGCAGGTATTTTTCAGCTACAGAGAGCAATTTTTAGCTTTGCCTCTGAGCTATAAAATTCTGTTAGTAGTCTGTTATTAGTCTAAATGGATCTGGGCTCTTGTCCTGTGATTTGATAGTAAATCATTTAAGCTAAAGTTACAGTAGGAGACATAAATCACTGCTTCTCTCTWGGGATTACAGCAGTATGTTAGTCAAAGCATGATAATGGTGGTGAATCAATTAGGAAGGGGAAAATTAACAGCGCTGTCGTGTTCTGTGTTACTGTGCACTAGGGAGGTAAAATACAAAGTTTCTGAAGCATTGTGATTTTAAATATGTTTGAAGTCTTCCTTGTAATTTGTAGTGGCTGGACATGTTAAGTTAGAAGAAAACTGCTGACAAGTGAAAAAAATACAGTATTCTGTTTTAAAGAGGAGCTTTTAGTATTCCTGATAGGAAGTTAGCAGCAGTCTGAAGATGAAGAATAATCAATTACCTAAATCGAGTGGTTTTCATGAGAACACACCATATTAATTAACTTACAGAACACCTTAATTGTGTGGTGTTCTGTTACATTTCAAGTCATTTGAGATTCATTGTAAGAGACAAAGGGTTTAGCTAACAAACCTGTTTGGGATAGAAGGCTGCAGTAGCACTAAAATCTGCTCTAGCAATAGTGTGAAGATCAGATGTGGATTTCCTTTTCTATTGCACATGCAGTACTTCCCATGAAGTGTTCTCAGAAACAGAAGTATCTCACAAGTTCTAATTGCTGATCCTTTTGGGAAAGGCATATGTTTCTGTGGGTTTGGGAAGGGAGCTGTTCTCACACAGATAATCAGAAATCGTCAGTCASAAAGTGGCGATTTAGCATGTGGTAGTAGTCCTTTATGTTTGGGAGAATAGGTCAGTGCACACAGATAGCAAAGCTGAACATTTCTAATGAAATGTGATGCACTTGTACTTCTTTAAAAATTGAAGAAGTGGCATACATTTTGATAATGGAATAATGGAGACTCCCTACCCCAACTATCATCTCTGTTCATGATCATTAGGATGCGGAATATTAAGAGCAGAGCAACTGGGCGTAACAGCCGACGTCCAACATCTGTCATGCTGGAGTCCATTAGTGTTCAATTGCATCCTATTGTTTTTGGATTATTCAACCTCATTTCATTGTCATTGCTTTTGCTAGGGATTAATCAGCTGTTTACAACTACACCAAGTTTTGGAGTCATAATGAAAACAATTGAGCTATAGTTCTAAATAAATATACAGTATTCAGTCTCTAATGAAAAAAGTTACTAATTTATGAATGCTGGTAACAATTTAATTAAGTTTGAAATCAATACAGATAATGAATCATTGTGTGGCAGGTTTTTTTTTTTTTTTTCCCTTTTGTGTACATCATAAAAAGATCATATGGTATTTCCTTGTAAGTTTATGTAGTTATGAGTTAATAATACAAGTACAGTAAAAGATGTTTTGGTTATGGGGCATGGATGTGTGTATATGTGGTGGCTCCTATSTCATTACAGTTGGTAGCAGAATTGATCCCTTGCTGCCAGCAAACAGWTTTGGTTTTTGCATCTTCTTTTATTCTTGTCCCTTATTTAGAGATATTGCTGAAAAGGCACTTTTAATTCACATAAGATACACATACTTACTTTAATATGGTGTATTAAAAAGGCCACTTTTCAGGTGATTTGTGTACTTACATGTTTTTGTGTACAAGTATCACAACCTACCTAAATAATTTTGCAGTTCTTACATAAACCCTTAGCTACATTTTAACTACTTAAATATATTTAAATTATTTTAACAACATAAAATTTGCTGACAGGCAAATATACAATCCCCATTTTTCTCAAGATACTGCTCYGATTGCAATGTTGTGTGTTTTATACAATATTGAAATTGTGAGTGCTGGAGGATTTCTAATAATTTGAGTTTACTTAGTTTGGTACCATATATCAAAACAGTGGTATTCTCAGCTGTGTATCTTTAAGCTGTTTCTCTTGTTTCATTAATACAGTTATTTCTTCTATCCTTGATACTTAGCCAGAATTTTCACGTGTTTTAATGTACAAATACTACAATGCACAGAGATTTTTTTTCCCTGAGTTGCAACAGATTATCCATTGAAAGGATCTTTTGCTTAACTGCCCAGAGTCTTGTGGGGCCAGCCAGACACTACTCCAGATGGCAAGTTGTTAGGGCTGGACAGAATGGCTTTGGAAGACTTCTCACCAGATGAAGGCTGTAATGTTGGGATTTTACTGTTTAGTTTTTTTTCCCCCTGTAGTTCCCAGGGTGGGAAGGTGCTGGGATGGAAGCAGAGTGCCGCCCGCCCACCTGCTACCACCTGTTTAGCTTTTGCAGTTTCTATAAAGCCTCATCTTGTCTGCTCGRCACAATCATTGCTGGCCAGCAGGAGCCAAAGAAAAAGAGATCTCTTAGGAAGTTACGTCTTCAGATTGCAACTCTTCACTAAATACTCTGCTAAACTRGACCAGAACTTCTCTCATCTGAAACAGCCATTTGGAGTTGTTGTGCCTTTAATCCAGTAACATCCTTCTCGGATTAAATGGACCATTTTCTTCAGTAACATACATTTTGAGAATGGAGATTTCATTGTTTTCTCTTTCTTTGAGATTAAAGAAATCAAAAKAATGAAAGCATAAGACATCAAAATTCTTCATTCTTTTTTAAAATATAAGGAACAATTTTCAAACATTTCCAGAAGAAACGGAAGATCTTTTCTTTTATAATATTTATTTTTTTAGCAGCTAAGAAAATACTCCATAACTGATATTGGGAAAACGAATCCAAGAGGTACAAAGGCTACTTACCATTGCTTAAGGAAAGGGGCTTTCCTTACCACTTTTTAGATACTGAATTTTTGATAGATAATCTTTGTGTGCGTGGAACTAAAGCTGCATCAAATATGAAAACCTGTAATTCTAGTCACTTGGAGTCAGGTGTGGAATCAGAGCTGCAGTGCAGAAGTGGAGCAGGCTGTGTTGCGAAGTGCAGTTCGGAAAGGATGGAGAACGCTGCCAAGAGAAGACTGGCTGCCAATGCCCGCGAGAGGAGACGCATGCAGGGACTGAACACAGCCTTTGACCGCTTGAGAAAGGTGGTGCCTCAGTGGGGTCAAGATAAGAAGCTGTCCAAGTATGAGACGCTCCAGATGGCTCTGAGCTACATCATGGCTCTCACCAGAATCCTGGCTGAAGCTGAAAGGTACAGTAGTGAGCGAGAGTGGATTAGCCTGCACTGTGAGCACTTCCATGCCGACAGCTACCACCACTACACGGCACAGAAACCGGCAGCGGACAGCGAGCCTTACACACAGCGGATATTCACCTACCACCCCGAGCACTTYCAAATTGCTAATTAGAACTCGTTGCCAAATAAGAATATGCAGCAGGCCAGATGTGTAATTTAATAATTAGCATGAGTTAATCTGCTTGACTAAGGTAATATTGGCATTATAATAGCTTATTCTGGTTTGCATCTTAMACAAAATTGATAAAATAAATTTGCTCTGAGAACATGAAATGAAAATGCATTTAAAATTATTGAATTTATTTAATGCTGGTGGAAATTATACTTTTAATTTGAAATATTTCTGGCTRTTGTTTCCTAGTTCATCTAAATTGATGCTTTAATTAAATAAGTTTTTGGTGTTTTTTTTACTGTGATGAATCATGACAGTATTTCTGCGGATCATGGGCTAAGTTGACCCATGGTATAACTGAATGGAATAGCAACAGAAATGAACTTAATTCCATGTTTTTCTTCTTGTGTCAGCTTTAAAGTTGTTCTTTGGTTTMTTTTTGAGTAAATGGTTCACATGGGAAAAGTTTTATAATGTATTTGTGTTCTAGTACTCAGAGAACTAACTTTCTTAAACTTTGTAAGTTTGACATATGGGTTCCAAGTTGTGTAGGTTTGCTTTAATCCAATTTATGGTGTCTCTTGTATGCTCGAAAAAGAGCTGGTTTCAAGTCATGGAAGGAATGTTTTATTTTCAATGCTGGAAAAGCACATGTGATTATATACCGTAAATGAGAATGCGTGAAAATAATCTAAACTTCTAGATTTTTGTGGGATTTAAATGATGGGATTTTATTTTTTATTTTTTATTTTTTAATCTTATGTTATCTGGAAACMATAACAGATTTTGTAAATCAAAAATAAAGTTTTTTCTATGTTATGTCCTCATCAAATATCTGAAATTCCTATCCTAGAAATTACTAATTAGTGGATTTTCTACCCCAAATGTCACACTACTTCTGTCACAGTCCTGGCAGTTTAATGTGCTGAAGAACCAACCAGCAAATGATACTGACTTCCTAGTTACAGTAAGGAGTGTGTTTTATATACAAGTTTGGGAAAAATTATGGAGCATTCTGGCAAAGTATTTGATGTGCTGAATGACCTTTGTTTACGTGCTGCTTTCACTTGTGGGGGATAGAGAGGTCTGGGCAGAGAGGGCAGAAGAGAAAAGGAGGTCGGGAGGACAAAAAAACATGTAGGAAAGGATGCTGGGGAARGAAATGTGTTTGTAGCAGGGTGAAGAGTCTGCAGAGGCTCAGCTGTCGGTGCCTGTGGTGGTGGCAGCWGACTGTGGAGCTGAAGGGGGCTGCTGCTGGTGCTGCTGAGGAGAGTTTCCAGAGACAAGCCCTCCCGAGTGTTAGGGAGAGAAGGAGAAGGGGAGCTCCTGTCCCACAACAGCTGTTGGTGGATTTCCAGCAGGGAAGGCGTGCGGGTTCCCTGCTGGCTGCTGCCATGCCTTATATTTTAGGGTTCCTTCAAATGACAAATGAATAGCTTTGATAGGAGTTCTTTTCGACAATTAAGCATCTTTCASAGAAGAACAAAGGCATTAGTAGGAGCTAAGCCGTGTTTGGGGGGAGAGGGACTGTGCTGCAGGAGCAGTTCCATACAGAGACCTGACCTCCCTGCCTGTCTCTCCTTCACTGACGTTTTGCCCTCGGTTACTGTTGCAGTCTCCTACTTTTCCTGGGGTGGAATTTGGGTGGTTCCTGGCGTGGAAACTCAGTTTCAGGCTGGCTTAAACACCAGAGGCACCGTATATCCTGAGCAACTCTCTCCTTTAAACACTGGCATTCAGGAATAGGATTTTGAATGTATATTTAGCTTCTCTAGCGGTAATGAATAGTGATAATTATTAAAATGTGGGCCTYTACTTTGTTTGAGTTACCTTTGATCTTTATCAGCAAGCAGAAAGTGGATTCAGTCTCAGAGATATGAAGTCGTGTTACTCATAGAGACAGTGGAATTAATTGTTGCCCATCATATAGTCAAGTTTCAATRTTACTTACTATTAAGAGGCAAGCTTATGTATGTAATAACAATGAATACAATTCTTAAATAAYTCAGTGATGTGCCGTCTTACCCTAATTTATTAGCTGTAAACTTCAGCAGACACTGTCTCACCTGCACTGCTAGCACAACAGTGGGCTTTCCATACTGAAACAGATTCCTGGATGCAAATAAATCATGTGATTATTTGACATGGAAAACTTAGATTAGTGAAAGATAGCCTAAATTTGAGGTGGGAAGGGGAATATGGTACACAAGGATAAATACTAGAGTAGGGTGCTTCTGCACTAATAGCATCTTATTGGTTTTAGTGAGGCATGACATTGCAGYAATTCGGGTAAAAGTACTTAACATCCATTTCTCTTCAGTTTTGTTTCTTCCATGTAACTTTGTACTCTGCTTTCTACTGCRTATGATGATACCTTTATTTATAATWGGTAATATTACYGGTGGGAAAATTGTGRTTTCATCTAATGCTTTACTGTTTTTGTTTCTTGAAAGGGTGCAGTGTTGAGCTAGAAGTTGTGATTTTCAGTTTACTGTGGAACTGAAGGCAGTTGAGTAAATTCTGTGTGATGTAYACACAGCTGTCTGTCTATTGATCTGTCAAAGCCTTTTGGGGAGTCAGTTGAGGCAATGGGAAAGTTTAATAATTTAAAATTCTTTCTGAGTGCAGTTTAAAAAGCAGATAATATCTATGCTGGCTGGGACTTCTCAAACTCAACAACTATTGAGTAAGTCATTGATTTATTTTCATAGCTTCCCTTTACAAATACTTCAGTGACTTCGTGAAATGTGAACGTGACTGTTTAACTTGGGTTTGATTATTGCTCCCAAATGTTTGTTCCCCACTAACTGTTTGATGCTTGTCAGGTAATGGCTCTGAGGCACCTTCTGTACTGGACTTTGCCAGTATGGGCATTTCATAYCCCCTCCCCTTAAATAATTATTGCTTCTATGAGGCCTCCAAATATGCAAAASCTTAGATGCTCAGAGCTTGGTGAGTTCTTAGAGGCTGAGTTTTGTCTGCTCATAAATCTGTGTCTCACTGAGCAGCAGTGCAAACCTGACATACTTTTGCTTGCAGTAGCAGTACTACATCTGATACATATGTCAATTATCACTCTAATTCTAGAACTGCGTTATTGTGAAAACAGTGGGGATGAGAACTGCTTTCTTCATTAAATATGTGTTGCATATTCCACACATAGCTGTTTCACTRTTGAAACAGTGTCAAATTCTAATGAATTATTGTGGGAAATTACCCTCTGTTTTTCTGACAGGACTTTCTGCAGGGTTATCTATTTGAAGCTAAAAATACTCTGCTTCTATGATTCTTTTAATTATATCACCCTATTTTGACATGCCCAGAGTTATATTTGAGCTTGGAACTAGAGTGGCTTTTTAACTGCATTGACTTTTTGGTGGCTAAAAGCAGAGTTAGGGCAGCACATTTCCAAAACCTATGTTAGTAATAAAAACTCAGCGTGTCTTATAACTGCTATTCATTCTAAGCTTCTGTCTTCCATCTTGCCATTTGTAAGGTATTTAGTGTGCAATCTGTCTTGTACTATACATACATATAGGGCAAGACTTAGTTTTTGACTGGAATTCTGAAATGGTGCTACTGTACCCATTTGTAAAAGTAAAAATGTGACTGACCTCAGCTATAGATTTGTAGTCATTGACATTGCAGCTTCTTCCTGTGTTTCTTTGAAACTTTGGTGGAGGGGTTGAGGTTATCAGCAAAAGAAAACATAATTTGAAACCAATGKGAACTGATACCAAGAATTGTTTAAAAAAGCAACAACTTTATTTCACAACTACCTGCTAGAAGCATGGCTAGYATATAACTTGACAATATTTATGGTTTTCTTCTAAATAAGGTAAAGTCGGATTTCATTAATCGGCTGTCACAGCAAAGTTCTGAGAAAACTTCTGGCACTGTTGCACATTTTCACAATTATTTGAACATGTGGAGGACTGTCTTGTATGCAACTCTGAAGCATTTATTTAAGTTCAGGTGGGATGAAGGGAAATATGTTACTGAACAGGCAGATATTTGGTTTTATCCTTTCATATGCACTTAAAATATACTATAAAACTGACATGAACATTTTTCTTCCCAGTGAGAATGGTTTTGGAAAAAAAAATCAACTTTAATCAAGAAAAAATATTAACTAGAGTTTTAAGGCTCAAAGTGAATACTTTTGTATTGAAAATTAWAAGGCAATTATCAATGAATAGCTTCTCCAGTATTAACAGTATAAATATGTCATTAGGTTTTGTAAAAACATTTTTCAGAAACTAATGATTTTAAATGTGGTAGCATTAAGAACACAGTTCTTAAATGAATTCTTATTCCAGATTCATTGGTTGAAGTACCTACAAATACTGTAAACAGTTGGGACTGGCAGTTGTTTACATGTTGAAATGATTACTGCAGACTTGGGTTTTCCTGTTTGAAGTGTGTGCTCTCATCTCCTCACATCAGCAGATGTCAGGCATTCAGAAGGGTTGCTCCACCTTCCATGTGGAAGCAAGGAACACAATCCAGTGGTTTTAAGGCAAGAGGTCCAATGATATCAATGCAGACCATATGTAAAAGTGCTGCAGGCTAGGTTTGCATCASTCTGGACCAAAAGTTTCAAGCAAAAATAATACTTTTTGAAATCTAGAACTGCAACTGTCATTTCTGCTCTAGTTTTCAATATATTGTGCCTCTAATTGGTTGTATACAAAACCAGGACTAGGAAGAAATGGGAAATTAAATAAACCTAGAAGATTCTGAATCAGTAAACAYTTAAAAGGTTACAAACCTGAGTATTTCTGTATCACACTTATACAGCACTATGCTCCGCATTGTGGTGGTTTCATGGATTTTTGGAAGCTAATAGCTAACAGTGACTTCAGTGGAAGGGCTAACATTAAGTTTTGTTGCTGCAGCAGCCTGCCCTGAATAAGAGAATGAAATGCTGTGTTTGTGTGAAGTGGAATATTCAGTAAACACTGGCAATGAGCAGCCAGGTTGCTCAGGAGGGAGCAGATTTGGCCTTCTCTTCCACAAGCATCTTCCCCTCGTCTTTTCCACCACCCAACAACACAAACATAATTTTGGCGTATTTTTCTTAGAAGTTCTTCTTTGTGATGAGCACGTCAGCAGTACTTATTAAACAGCATTGACATCCATTCAC